GGTCACATTATCTGCATGGACCATATGTGGGAGTATGTCCAAAGACAGACAAAGATTGGGCGATAAAACAGAAATTGGTGGAGAAACCTGGCAGGTCTATCACATCTGTAGAAAGAAAACAGAGTTATTGCTTCAAGTCCTATGAACCTTCTTCAGAACCGATAGTAGCTATAAAAAGACAGTGTATATGCTGAAGATGGAGTGCAGGAATAAAGGGGTGAGTGGATAAGTGGACACAGTGTCCAGAGGGAGAGAAAGGAAGCTAGACAGACAAAGGTTTAGCTAGTAGTACGCCAAGGAAGGAGAAAAACTGATTATAGGGACCATGAGTAGGTGAAAATGACTGCGCTGAAAGCAGCCCCATATCATATCATATCATGGCCTGAGGTGTGGGTTTAGGTGAAGGGAGCAATACCTGTGGAAAGCAGACAAGGGAGGGGAATATGTGTCTGGTGGTGGTATCCTGTTGGAGATGGCAGAAATGGTGGCTTATGATCCTTTGGATGTGGATGCCGATGGGATGGAAAGTGAGGAGATTGGGCAATAGGCAGTGGTGAACAGCCAACATAAGTAGTCAGGGGAATTGCATATCATTTGTCAGGGAGCTGGGAAATCAGCAGTCTAGAGTCTGCTCAATCAGATACAATGGCGTTCATGCCACACCCAGGACTGCAGTGCAGCAGAGTGCTTGGCTGCTGAAGGTGCAGTTCCTTGGCTTTGACCAGGCCTTCCAGTATAGTATGGACAGAGTGTGCTGCATCACCCTGGTGTACAATGCTCTGAAGTAGTGGAGCAGGCATTGAAGTGATGTGATAGATGCTGAGGAACTGGGGGAGCAAAAACTATTCTTCTAAGGAGAAAAGTGCTGGCATTTAGGAGGTGGAAGCTCTTCTTATGTTTGTCAATACTCAACTGTGTCGAGTGCTACAAGCCAGACAGAATCTGATTGACGCCCGGATAATAAGAGCTGCGTGCAGCCAAAATCATGGATTGCAAAATAGTCATTGGTCACGTGCCAGCATTTGGTTTACACTGTGGGGACAAACTCCAACCTCTTATTTTGTATGTGTTTGCTTTTGTTGGTTGAGTTGGCAACAACTGTGCTAAACCGGAATAAGGATAAATAACAAAAGAATGAGGGCTGAACTGGATGGAATGGCAAATATTAGTGATAAACCACAGGATTGGGAAAGGTTCCAAAAAACAACAACAAAGGACCAAAATCAAAAGGGAGAAGATAAAATGTGAGCTTAAGCCTACAAGTAATATCAAGACAGATGGCAAGAACAAAAACAGAAGTTGCTGGAAAAGCTCAGCAGGTCTGGCAGCATCTGTGAAGAGAAGATCAGAGTTAATGTTTTGGGTCCGGTGATCCTTCCTCAGAACCTTCAATCTTGTTCCACCATTCATTATGATCACAGCTGATCATCCAACTCAATAGCCCATCCCACTTTTCCCCATTATCCTTCGATCCCTTTAGAAGCAAGTGTTATATCAAATTCCTTCTTGAAATCCTAAAGTGCATTGGCCTTGACTGTTCTCTATGGTAGTGAATTCCACAGGCTCATCACGCTCTCTGGGTGAAGAAGTTTCTCCTCATCTCAGTCCTAAATGGTTTACTCCGTATCCTTAGACCGTGACTCTTGGTTCTAGACTCCTTTGTACATGAGGAACAACCTTCATGTATCAACCCTGTCCAATCCTGTTAAAATTTTACAGACTTCAATGAAATTCCCCCTCATTCTTCTGAATGTCAGAGAACATAACACAAACTGATTCAACCTCTCCGTTCAGATGTCAGTCAATCCCACCATTCCAGGTATCAGTCTGGTAAACATTAACTACACTCCCTCTATAGCAAGAACATTTTTCCTCAGGTAATGAGGCCAAAACTGCACACGGTATTGCAGGTGCTACGGAGGGATGGGCGACACCTCTCTGTTAATTAAAACCGAAATACCCAGAGAAGCTCGCCTCGACTCGCAATCTGTTAAAGGAAGTGTGTAAAGTGGTATAAACTGCCTGTCACCTCCAATCTGTTATAAACGAGTGGTTAAATGAAAGAAGTCCCTGATACTCACTTTATAAACAACAAGTAACTATTTATTTATCTAACTCTCACAGTGAGCAAATTAACACAGCTACTAACAAACTGAACAATCCCCCCCCTTAACTACTAACTATTCCTGAATAAAACAAAATTCTAATCATATGCTTTATTTATTTTCCAATAAATAAAACTCCCACTTATATAAAGTAATAAGAAAAAAAATTAAACACAGTCTTTCAAAATTACAGCCAGGATAAGTCTTCAAGAATGTTCTTTGCATTGTCTGCTGTTTTCCATTCAGGAATGTCTTTCTCCATTGAATTCTTGTGTCAGGAATATTAGCTAAGAGTGCCAAAGTACCTTTATTTAGATGGGGCTTACTTTGAGAGTTTAGAGATTTTTGTGAGAGCCAGTGAGATTTTCTCCAGATGGCAGTTCACTGTCACACCAATTTTCAAATGCCCTCTTCTTTTACATCCTCGATAACTTATTAATTTCTTACAATTAGATTGGTCCCAGGTTGTCAACACCATCAGATTTAAATTTAATTGGGTTTTGGTATCAAGGGCCTGGTTTAAATTAATTGGCTAAATTCAAAAACCTGTTGCCATGGTAAAAATGCTGCATTGCCTGCTAACAGTATAGTTTTTTGATACAATGTTTCAATTTCATGAACTCTGTATGCCTCTGCTGCTGCTTGTAGACATTTATTTTAATCTCCAAGCCTTAAAAAAAAATTATCTTTTAAAGGGACGACACACTCTTCCTCCTTATCATTTTGCAAACATCGTATACTCTACCCAGCTTCGCAACGTGAGCATAGTCACACCAAGGCCCTGTATAATTGCAGCAGGACATCCATGCTCCTGTACTTGAATGCTCTTGCTATGAAGACCAACTCACTACAAGATTTCTTTACTGCCTGCTGCACCTTCATGTTTACCTTCAGCGACTTGTGCACAAGGACACCCAGGTCTCAGTGCACATTCCCCTCTCTCAATTTACAGTCATTCAGATAATAATCTTCCTTTCTATTTTTGCTACCAGTGTGGATAACCTCTTACTCAACCACAATATACACATTTGCCATGCACTTGCCCACTCACTCAGCATGTCTAAATCACTCTATCCTCCTCATAGCTCACCCTTCCTCCCATCTTCAAATTTGGAGATAATACATTTAGTTCCCTCATCTAAATCATCAATATATATTGTAAATAGCGATGATCCAAGCACTGATCCTTGTGATATCCCATTGGTCACTGGCTACCATTGGAAAAAGACCTGTTTATTACTACTGTTTGTTTCCTGTCTGTCAACCAGTTCTCTATCCATGTCAATACATATTCTCAATCCTATGTCTTTAATTTTACACACTAAGCTCTTCTGTGGGACCTTCTGAAAGTCTAAATCAACTATATCCACTGGCTGCCCCTTATGAATTCTTCTAGTTACATCCTCAAAAAATTCTAGTAGTTTCATCAAGCATGATTTCCCTTTGTAAATCCGTGCTGACTCTATCTGATCCTATCACTGTTTTCCAAGTACTCTGCTTTTAAATCTTTCATAACGGACTCTCCGCTTTTTCCCCACTATCAATGCCAGGCGGACTGATCTATAATTCCTGGTTTTCTCCCTACCTCCCTTAACAAATAGAGAGGTTACGTTAGATGTATTCCAATCTGCAGGAACTATGCAAGAGTCAACAGAATCTCAGAAGATGTCCACCAGGGCAATAGATTGAGCCTGTATTCATTGGAATTTAGAAGAATGAGAAGGAACCTTGTTGAAACATAACAAGATTTTTAGGAGACTTGATAGGGTGGATATAAAAAGGATGTTTCCCCTTGTGGGAGAATCTAGGACCTGAGGGCATAATCTCAGAGTAAGATTTCACAGATTTAAGACAGAGATGGGGGAGAAATTTCCTTTCTCAGACGGTAGTTAAACTGCAGAATTCTTTACTGCAGAGGGCTGTCGAGGCTGGATTTTTAAATATATTCACGGCCAGGGCAGACAGATTATTAATCGATAAGGGAATCAAGGGTTTTGGAGAAAATGCAGGAAGGTGCAGTTGACGATTATCACATCAGCCATGATCTCATTGAATGGCAGAGCAGCCCTAATGGGTTGAATGGCCTACTTTCACTTCTACATCTTATGGCCTGGACCATGCCTTGATCCTAGATCACCAGTGGGTGTTCATTTCTGGCTAATCCTGGGAATTGATTGCCAATGCCCACTTAACTGCCTGAGCATATTTAACATTGCCGTGGCCTTCCTGGAAGATGCAATATGGGTGCCTTGCCAGATCTCCAGCCAGCAGACTAAACTCCATCAAATCTAGTCCTATTTGTGGAGTGGTCAATCACCTAAATGTATGTGGGATTGAAGAATGGGATGGCTTGCAAACATACACAACAATTTCCAATAAGCAATTCCCAATTTCTAATGAGCAATTACCAAGCACCTGGAAACCACTGAAAAGTTCTATAGTCCTGAGTTGGACTGGAGACATCCAAAGGTTCTATATACTTACCGAGAACTGCTGCCTCACCTGACCTTGGTTTGATTCCACCCTCGGGCAACTGTCTGTGGAGTTTGCACATTCTCCTCATGTCTGTGTGAGTTTCCCCCATGTGCTCTGGTTTCCTCCCACAGTCCAAAGATGCGCATGCTAGATGGATTGGCCATGGTAAATTGCCCTGAAGTGTGGGCATGTACTGCATGGTAAATGTGGGATTGTAGGGATAGGATAGGAAGCTCGGTCTGGGTGGGATTCTCTTCAGAAGGTCAATGCAGACTTCATAGGCGAATGGTCTCTTTCCACACTGTCAGGATTCTTAAAATAATTTTTAATTAATCTGTTCAGATGGGTTATGACACACCTCTAGAGCAGGTGGGACTTGAAGCCATGCCTCCTGGCTCATCGGTAGGGATATTACCATTACCAGAGCCTTTAAAACCTACTCCAACTCCTGGCTGGTTATAAAGCTACCTACTGACTTATGACTCCCCTCCTGATACCGCTCAATACGACCTGATGACCTCTCCTGCCCTCAATGCACTCTTCCAACTCTAACCCGAACCAACATCAGCACCCAACTCCCCACGAATAGACCCATCTTTCCCCTGACCCACTCAACCTCTTCAACCACCTATCTGCCACGCTAGCTTATCACCCATTGCACCTTACTCCTTTACTAATTAACCTGCCAACCTCCAACTCCCTGAGTTATCTGTCACCATACTCCCTCCCACCTACACATCTGTCACCCTAAACCCCTCAACCACTTGCCTCCCTATTCTGTCACCCACCAGGTGTCTCCTCACTGACTTATCTTACACATTCATTTTCTTCCATAGCTTTTCAATGTCTCTTTGGGATATTTAAACTATTCAGCGGCAGAATTACAACAGTTGGCACAAAGGGATGTGTCCTGTCTTCCTCCAACAATCCTACATTACTGAGAATTCAGTTGGATTCAAGTTACGCTACAGATTGATGGAACCTGCAGCATGGAAGTTGGGCCTGAGATATGAAGAATGGATGCACGGTAAGAAATTAGGTGCAAGAGAAGCAATCCTGATGGTGATTACTGCTGTGGGAAGATAAGTGCCATCAAGTTGTGACCATTCTGAAGAAGGGTCACTGGACCTGAGATGTTAGCTCTGATTTCTCTCCACAGATGCTGCCAGACCTGCTGAGATTTTCCACCAACTTCTGTTTTTGTTTCTGATTTCCAGCATCTGCAGTTCTTTCAGCTTTAAGTCATGTTTTAAATTGATTGATGATGAACAGTGTTGAAACTGGTCTTGTACTGTATGGGATTCTTCGTGCAGTGCCAATGAAAAGTAAATTTATTTTATAGAGTCATAGAGTCATACAGCATGGAAACAGACCCTTTTGCCCAACAATTCCACACCGACCATGTTCTCAAACTAAACTAGTCCCATTTGTCTGCATTCGGCCCATAGCCCTCCAAATCTTTCCTATTCACTTACTTATCCAAATGTCCAAATAAATGTTGTAACTGTATTTGCATCCACCATTTCTTCTGGCAACTCATTCCACACATGAACACTCTCTGTGTAAAAGAAACTGCCCCTCATGTCCTTTTTAAATCTTTCTCCTCTTAGCTTAAAAACCTCAGTAAGGTCACTCCTCAACCTCTGACATTCCAGTGAAAAAAATTCCAACCTTTCCAGTCAATTTATATATCTCAAACCCAAAATCTTTTCTGAAGCCTCTCCACTTTAATAATATCCTTCCTATAACAGGTCAGCCAACTCCTGTACTCAAAGATCTGAACAGTGAAGGCAAGAATGGTAAACACTTTCTTAATCACCCAATGTTTTAAATTGTTTGATGATGAACAGTGCTGAAACTGGTCTTGTACTGTATGGGATACTTCATGCAGTGCCAATGAAAATTAAGTTTATTTTGTTCAAAAGCATCCAGAAATTGTTATTATTGAACAACTCCAAAGTCCTTTTCTGACTCCACACTGTTCAGGATTAAACCCCCATTTATAATTGTCTAAAGACAAACTTTCCAGGTCTCACCTTTAGGATACTATCAGTGAGACATTCAACTAAAGCTTTAATCTTCGGCAATGGGAGGTATAACAATTGCTGACAGCTCAGCTAAACATTTTTGACGGATCAAATTCAGTCCTGTTGTCAGATCCCCTCTTTGGGTCATGTGCTATCTGTGCACTTTTTGTTTTTATCACTTGCAACTGTGTCAGCCAAAACAATTTCTACGACTGAACATTAAAGACAAAAACAAAAAGATTAGTTCCTGGTGTAATATTTTACCATTTAATTTAGAAATTCTTACCAGATGTTATGTGGGATGACATTTTCTTTTGTTACACCCAACTGTAAAGCTGTAAGTTGAAACATTCACACCTGAAAGAGTTTCATACAAGCATGTTAATGAACACATTTGATAGTTGAGTAATCTTCCCCACTAATTTGTGCATATTATTTCCTAATACTTTCTCAGAGTGAAATGCAAGCCATATGGGATTTCTTTTACATGATGAAGGTATCTGAAGACATAAATTACGAGAATTATCTATTCCATCCATCAAGGAATCATTGTCATCTATCACATTTCCTGTGTTGTAATACTTGGTTGCTCAGAAATGAGTCCTTGTTCAAAATCATAGGTGTGTCATCCAAGAAAGAAATGTAAGCAACAAGTTAAAAGCAGGAAGTTACAAAGTTGTGGTTTTGAATCTATTTTGCTTGAGAAAGGTCATGGGGTGGACCAAGGATAAAGTCAGCCAAAAAAAAAGATTTTAAAATATTGTACGACAACAAAGGTAGAAACATAATTGCTTTTAATAACATTGATACTTTGGCTTTCATAAGTCATTTTTTAAATTCATTTTGGGATGTGGGCATTGCTGGCTGGCCAGCATTTATTGCCCATCCCTAGTTACCCTTGAGAATGTGGTGGTGAGCTGCCTTCTTGAACTGCTGCAGTCCATTAGGGAGGGAATTCCAGGATTTTGGCCCAGTGACATTGAAGGAATGGCAATATATTTCCAAGTCAGGGTGGTAAGTGACTTGGAGGGGAACTTGAAGGTGGTGGAGTTCCTATGTATCTGCTGCCTTTGTCCTTCTAGATAGAAGTGGTCGTTGGTTTGGAAGGTCCTGTCTAAGGATCTTTGGTGAATTTCTGCAGTGCATGTTGTAGATAGGTTCTCTTCTATTGGATGCAGATATCAATGAGGTTCTCAAAAAAAACGAAAGAAGTGCAGATGCTGTAAATCAGGCACAAGTTCTGAGGAAGGGTCACTGGACCCGAAACGTTGACTCTGTTTTTGCCTTCACCGATGCTGCCAGACCTGCTGAGCTTTACCAGCATCTTTGTTTTTGATCCATGAGGTTCTGTCCAGCTGATCTCTTTTGTGGATAATGACAGCTTCCACCTCCCCAGTGTCATTGTCTTTCTTCTCAGAAGACTACTCCCATTCCCCAGTTCCTCCACGTTGGGTAGATCACCTTATTGCCTTCTCTAATTGTGCAGAATACATCATGCCATGATGATGCAGCACTTGCTGTGGACTACACCAGAGGGCGCCCTAGATCAATCCAAGGAGTGGAACCGTACCTTCAGCATCCCCATCGTCTGCTCTACGACTGTCCTGGACAAGGTCTGGGCAACACAGAGTCTGCATTCTTCATCAGCCAGGGTTTATGCAAATGTGAAAACACCTACTCACTGCTTCCCTTTATCCATAGCAAAGAATTCCAATAAATTGTATGCCCTTTTCACAAATCCATGTTTGACTCTGCCTGATTATCTTGATTGTTTTTTTTCTAAATATTCTTTCATAATATCTTTATTAGTAGCTACTAACATCTTCTGGTAAGCTAACAGGCCTGTAGTTTCCTGCTTCCTGTCTCCCTCTCTTTTCAAATAAAGGAATTATGTGCACTATTTTCCAATCTAATGGAGCCTACACAAAATCTAGAGAATTTGGCAAAATTAAAACCAATAGTAACTATTGCACTAGTTACTTCTTCTAAGACCCTAGGATGAAGTCTATCAGAACTTGGGGTCTTGTTAGCCCACTGTCACAACAACTTTCTTACTCTCACTTCCCCGGTGATTGTAATTTTCTTGAGTTTGTCCTTTTCTATTTCCTGATTTATAGCTTTTTCTGGGATGTTTCTGATATCATCTCTTGTGAAGATCTATGCAAAATACCTCTTCATTTCACTGCTATTTTCATATTTTCCATAACTAATTGCCCAGTTTCTTTCTCTATGCAATCAACTGAGTTAAATGTTTTCTTTTTAAATATCTATAGGAATTCTGACGTTTTTTGTAATCCTAGCTAGCTTTATCTCATATTCCAATTTTTACCTCCTATTAATCCTTTAGTCATTCTTTGCTTGTTTCATATTTTACCCAAAAAACTTAACTACACTCATTTTGTGCTATTCCTTTAAATTTAGAATGTATTAATTTTGTGAAATCTGAAATTATCTTAAATCTGTGTCCTATGTTCCTTGGTGCTTTTACAATTGGGAACAGATTCTTCCTATCCACTCTGACTAGACTCGTTATGATTTGTATACCTTCAACAAATTTCCTCTCAGTCTTTTACTCCCTCTCAGCCTTCTCTTCTCCTGGACGAACAACAAGAAGTAACTAGGGTGAACATAGATCATTGAGAAATCAGGAGCTTGAGAAAACAACCTGAAAAGCGCAGTAATAGGGAGTGAGTGGAGGCAGAGTAAGCAGAATCATGATGGCGAGGGGAGAGGTGTTGGTAATTAAAGGCAGAGGCACCAGTGGGGCCAGCACAGGTAGAATGGCAGTACTGGGGAGGGAGAACAGGAGGTTTTGAGGAGATGCAGACATATAGGGAGAGGCATGAGCAGAAGAACAGAATGGGGTAAGTAAGAGACTGATGAGAGTGGGGCAGGGGCCCATTGAGGTGGTATTTGGACCAAGGCACTTGGTTTGTGGGGGGTGGGTAGTGTGGGAATAGGAGCACTATTTATGGAGCATGCGGAGAATAGATCATGGAAGGAGGCAATAGAAGCAAGGTGGGTGAAATATGGCCGCACTGGTATTGTCCTCCATTACAAGAATCATTGATTCCCTTCAGTGTGGAAGCAGGCCATTCGAGTCCACACTGACCTTCCAAAGAGCATCCCACCCAGACTCATTCCCCTACTCTGTCCCTGTAACCCTGCACCTAACCTACACATCCCTGAACACTATGGGCAATTTAGCACGGCCAATCCACCTAACTTGCACATCTTTGGACTGTGGGAGGAAAACAGAGCACGCAGTGGAAATCCACGCAGATATGGGGAGAATGTACAAACTTCAGGAATCGAAGCAAGGTCTCTGGCACTGTGAGGCAGCAGTGCTAACCATTGAGTCACCAGGTGGAGGCAGAACCAGGTGACTATTTAACCAGACATTCATTTTGATTGGCTCTGATTCGGATGTTGCTAAGCAATTTAACTGTTCCAAACTAGACGTTGGTGGGCATTCCAGGGTGTGCACTTTCCTGGATACTGGCCTATGAGTTCTCTCACTCAATTTGGATCTAGTGGGACTGTTTTGCTATTTCAGGTCTTCATATTGCCAGCAACTCCAATGGCTTGCTGGCCTGGATCCTGAAAATAATGTTAATTGTTTGGCCAAGTCTTGGCTTTGTTTTGGGATTTTGCTGTGGGCTTACCTAGAGTCCTTCTATTCAGGATATGTCCTGAGTGAGGCTGTGCATTTGCCTTTACTCAAGTGCTGTTACCTAAGCTCAGTTAGCCTGGCGAGGGTGCCCAGTTCCATCAGAAAACCCTGAAACTCATACACTCCACTTGCTGCATTTTCCAATCATAAGTCCAGTTGCAATGTCTGTTTGAAGTCCAGTTGGACTTCAGTTAGTAGGCACTTTTGCATGGTTACATCATTATTCCCACAAATCAAACAGTCTCTCGGAATCTCATTAAGGTTTAAACCAAAGTCACGTGCCCCTGCCAGTCACCCTAACCAAGTTAAAATCCCAATCCGGATTCCCTTATTTCTTGAATTGCAAAGTAAAATTGATAGCAGCTCAGAATTAGAGGAGGCTTCAGTTCGTAATATTCCTTAACTAAATCTGCCAACTCTTGAAAGGTTTTAGTATCTGGTGCCTCGGGGAAATTTAGGCTCCAATTGGATCCACAATCTATCAAGAGAATTATTGGTTGCTTTTCACCTGTCCCAATATCATTCGTCTGGAAAAAGTAATGCACTTTATACATGCTGGGTCCAATCTTCAACAGCAGGGTCGAACAAGTCAAGCTTCCCAAATAACGGCATGATGCCAGAAATGCTTATCCCAACTCAAAGACGACTGTCGCGAGCAAATTTCTTCAGAGTATGTTTTTCTCTTGCCTCCACTGAAATAACTCCAGACAGGCAGGTATCCTGTCACCAAGTCACCCTTTATTTACATGCAGAAAGTCCTCGACACTTATCCAGCTGCCTCAGAATCAGCTGCCAGAGTGAACAGAATCTCTGACATTCCTGCATATGTCTGTCAGCCAGGGATCCCCGATTGCTGCAGATTAACAGCCCAAATCAGGGAAGTCATATTTTATGAAGTCCAACTGGCTGACCTCATTAGAATCACTACAGTGGTGTTCATGGTGTAGGAGCACTGTAGGGTGAGGAGGGGTTACACAGAGGTGGTAAGTATGAAAACAGTGAGGGCATTATAGAAGCACAGTATGGGTGGTGTAGGAGCACAGTGGGGGCATGTAGGACATGAAAGGGGTATGTAGGAGCTTGGTAGGGAGGGTGAAGGCACCTGATGGAGGATGTGTAGGAACATGGTGAGGGCCATTGGAGTATGGGGAGGAGGGAGTAGGAGTGCTGGGAGATATGTTGAGTATTTATTCATATTATTCAATGAGTACCAAGCTTTATTGTACTGCTGTAAAATCAACACTAAAATATTTTGAGATACTGTGAATATTCCATTATTCTCAGTTAGAATTTTGTCAATTAACCGGGAATGAAACTGATCTTGCAATAGGAAAATAAATCATTGAAGTACTCTGACAGACACAATTAATGATAGCAATCTCTTTTTATCAATGTTTACCTACTGTTTTAATAACTAGCTCTTTCTAATCCTACACATCCGGAGAAATTCCAAAATGAGCCAACTCCTATCAGTGAGTCAAGGTGTTCTGACTATAAATACGGCAAGTGAGCAGCAACAAGCCAGTCACAGGCTCAGTCAGAGCAACAGCAAGTAGATCAAGATCTTTCTACCAGTAAAGCACAATGAGTAGTAAAGTTACTCTCACTGTTCTCATTCTCTTCGTACTGTGTGCTTCATCCACAGACGGTAAGACGGGTATAATTTTACAGCCTTTATGCAGAATCTATAATTATATGGATTAGATTTGGCTCCTTATTTCATTGACTGATGCTGCCACATATATAGTTTATCTGAAAGTTAACAGCAAAAAGAAATCTAATTCATTGTTGATCGAAACGTCAGCATTGTTCAATTTTAATAATTGTTACTATGAGGAGGAGGAGGATGTGTATAATTAGAGTTAAATGGCTAAATTTTAGCACAGGGTTTGGTACCCTGAAGTCAGACTGAAACAGTATGGCCCAAGACACCACTTACCAGTAGTGGGGCTGGCTCAACAATTTTACTCCTGATTGGTCTATTTGGAGGACTTGCAGCTCTGCAGTCTCAGCAGTGCCACCAGGAGAAAGCAGCACTGTTGAAAGACAAACAGGCAAGGTCCTGCAAAACGCATGTGCCTCTGAGCAACATGTAAATCATTAAACTTAGGAGACTGAGGGCAGTAGCCTTATGGAATAGAGGGGAAACTGCACGGGGGAGAAATTGGAACTGAGGTACCTGCCTTTCGTGCCCGCAGATCCAACTTTGTCCCATTGAACCTCTAACTCTGGTGGCTCTGTGGGCTGTTACAGGGAAACTGTCTTCAAAAAGCAGATGGCCTCATGGAAGCATGAGTGCATCTCCTCCATTGACACAGTACTAGCCATTCCTCAAAATAGGCCATAAATGGGGCCATAACTGTTTGCCCATCTCAATGGAGTATACCCCTTATCTGCTGCAGTGAATCTCCTTCAGCAGAATTACAGTAAACAGTGAGGCATTTTTTCCCTGCTCCCAATCCCCATCCTCTCTTCCATTTCCAGCACCAAGGGCTAGTAAAATTCAGCCCAAATGAGGGTCCAAAGTCATTGAAAAATTGTTGGACACTACTAAAATAATTTTACCATCAAAAGATTCAAAACTTTTCAGTCTTTCTTCAATTTTTTTGAGTTTTAGAAATTATGGCAACATGACAGCTGGAAAGCTTTCTAGATCATACAATCCTGACAGTGAGGAAGCAGGACATTTGGCCCATCGAGTCCTACCCAGACCAAGCCCCTTTCCCTGTAACCCTGCATTTTCTATGGCTAATTCATCTAGCCAACACATCCCTGGACACTATGGGCAATTTAGCATGGGCATTACACATAACCTGCACAATCTTTGGGCTGTGGGAGGAAACCAGAGCACTGGAGGAAACCAATGCCAGTATGGGGAGACCTGGCAAGACAGTTGTCCAGGGTTGAATTGAACTCAGGTCCCTGGTGCTGTGAGGTGTGTCAACCATTGAGCCACCCCTTCAACCTGCATTATTGCTTGCTGAGGTTCCCTGTTTGACTGGCTGACAGTGTCAGGAGAATGATTATAGGGGCTAGGTGGCAGTTTAGTTAGTAGGATCAGTGGGCATATAGAGAGACAGTTTGTGCAAATCTAAAAATAACTATTTAAATCTTGAAATTTCTTTAATTTACAGCTGCGTCAATCGGAAGAACAGGATTGAGTCTACGCTGTCAGTGTATAAAAACAACCTCCAAGTTCATCCATCCAATGCACATGAATAATATCGAAATCATCCCAAGTGGGCCACACTGTGAGAATACAGAAATTATGTAAGCACTCAGGTCCTTTTCAATTTTCTGTACTCAGCAACAGTCATAATTCTAGGTTGAAATAGGTGTTCAAACCTCTTAAATCAGAGACAGTAGATAACTAACAATTTGAAATAAATGCCTTTCTTCTCTTCTTTCAGTGCCAGCCTTAAAAACAAGGATCGTGTGTGTCTGAATCCTACAGCTCCTTGGTTGAAGAAAGTCCTTAGCAAGATGATGAAAAAGTATGTTTCAATCTGTATAGGGATAAGGGATGGGGAAAGGGCATCATTTCCTTTTATTTTCATAAATAATCATGCTCCCTTTATCGTAACATTATTCAGAGTTAAATTAATAAATTGCATGCCTAGCTCAGTGAATCAGTAGATCTTGTGATATAGTACTGACTGAGAAAGTTCCAAGGATTATTTTTGGTTTGTTCTGGTTTGGGCAACTATAATTGAAAGCTAATGCGGGTTCCTTTCTCCAAGCCTCATGAAAGATAGAAATCTTTATAGTTCCTGCTCCTGATCACCATAGACTTATTCCCTGTTGTCTAGACAGTTGGAGTTTTTGTCATGAGTAAAGAGACAGATTCAGGTTTGGCCGTATTAGGCTCATATCATGCAGCTCACAAACAAGATTTGCTGCTCAATGATGTTGCAAAAGAACTGCTTGTGCAAATACAACTATAGACCTCACAGAACAAAATAGTAAACAAACTGCTGATCTGAGGTTGCAGTCAATGTTTAATATGTTAGAGGGGTAGGTATGGCTGTTTTGGGTTGTCTTTGATTCTAAGTATTTAATATTCTATTTAATTAAATACCTAACATTTTACTCAGCTTTGAGTCAATTCTGTAAATATATTCAACCAACTAAAATAACTTCTGACATAATTTAATGGCTTTTAGAGCATTTTGTCATTCACAAATATTGTATGATGTAAATATTCACTGTATTTATTTGTTCTTGCCTTTCCATAGATCCAAGTAGTTGGGTTGACCTCGCTGAAGAGAAGCTCAACTCTAAATATTAATAGATTAATAGCCACTTTTGGGGATCTGGCTGCTGTTGATTGGTGTGGAGTCATCATAGGCAGCAAGGCTTAACTTGGCTTTCACTGTTGAAAATTGTTCAGCGATTTAATGATTTTAACACCTTAAACATAGGAATGTGAATATTTCCATGTTTAATTGCCAAAGTACCGAAGTAACCTGACAACAAGTGAGATATTGAGATGAAGTAACAGATGACTTGATCAATGGCTCTTTTTGTTAATTATTAATTGTTACTCAAACAGGATTCTCATCATTTGCTGCCAGGTAGCAATGTTAGAGAATATAGTTACTCAATGGTATATTGTTCAGTATGACAAATTGTCAGTAATGTGCTTGTTCTTTGAATGCTGTGCTATTTCTATTATATTATCCAGAGATATGGTTGGTTTTGTATTCATTTATTAGTTCCAAGAATTATTATTAACAAACATATTAATAATTAAAATGTATATATGCAAGTTATGTAATTTTTTTGAATTAGAATTGTCCTGATGCATTTTTCCTTAATTTATCTGCATATTATAGTAATTGAAGAATGTAAATTTTGGGGCTAATATTGTCTTGGCTTGGATATTAAATTACATATTGAAAATATATTCTGAGTTGTTTTGCATGTTGCCATAATTATCTGTGCTTACTAAATAATGTGAGCATCAAGCAACAAAATGATAGCTGTAGGAATAATTGAATCACAGGCAAGGAATTTTCCCTAAGTGACTGTGGTGCCTTAAAACTGAAAAGTGTTATCCTCACTGATGACCTATGGGGAGGGCAGGACACATAGGATTCCTGCATTACTCACTTGTGCAGACACTGCTATGAAAGTGATGCGAGGAGCTGATCTACTTTGAAACTTCTGTAGGTTTTAAAACAAAACCTCTTTTTTTTTTCTGAATACAAGCTGTGCTGTGATGTATGTTTAGAAAGGCAATTTGGGTGAAAGTTATTTCTACCACTTGTGTGTCTTTACAACAACATTTTTTTATATAATACCTTTAATAGGGGGATAGAAGGGCAGATGGCCAATAATTTTTTCAGAGGTAGGTTTTAAGGAACCCCCTAAATGAGTTGAGAAAGCTAAAGATCTTTAGGGACAATGTCAGGGTTTGGGGCCTTGGCAACTGAAGGCATGGCTGTCAATAATGGAACCTAGAACATGGTGTCAAAGTCTCAGGATAAAGGATCAGCAATTTAGCACAAAACAAAACTTCTTCCCTCAAGTAGTTGTGAATTTTTGAAATTCTCTACTCCAGAGAGTTGCTTGGTTGCTCGAGCATATTCAAGACAGAAATTGACAGATATTTGGGAGATAAGGGAATATGGAATGTGGCGATAATGCAGGAATATGGAGTTGTTTAAGGCTAACAGGATCTGTCTAATCTAAGGGAGTTGTACAATCATGCAAATGCCCAGCTATTGACTTCCCTTTACAGTGGATCACTTCATTTCATTAGCTTTGGCATCATAGTGAGGCAGTAGAGAAGAGCTCTATCGGGTTTACATCTCCCAAGCTCCAAGGCATCATTAAAAGCAACAACACAGCACAATCTCACTTTCGTAAACAGATAGGGATTCCACTCCATGGGCACGTAACATTTGATAACCCAGACATCTCAATCCTTTGGCATTCTGATCTCTTCAAGGAAGAAGCATATAAACAGATAGAAAAATGGAAACAGGAATTGGCCATTCAGCCCATCGAGCTTGCTCTACATTCAATCCGATCTTGACTGATCATCCACTTTAAAGCCACTTCTCTACATTATCTCCATTTACCTTGATGTTAGTCCCAAAATCAATCAATTTCCACAGCTGCTTTGGAACAAGACCAACACTCTGCTGCCATGCTGATGGCCAATTAATGTCCACTTAAATGCCTATTTCCATCCCTGCCATAATAACACACACAGCAAAAGCATCTGAACCAAAGGAGGCTAGCCTGTTACTTCACTATCTTGGGTGAAAAGAAGGGAAGGAAAAGCAGGTTATCTCTTTTCGGGGTGACCTGTGCCGTTAGAGGTAAGCTGCTCTAGCTATTTCACTCTTATTTTTGGAACAAGTCCTCCTGGCCTCCAAAATCTGAGTGCCCTCACCCCACTTCTACCCTCCCCCAACACTCACCTGACCCAAGGATTCTCAGAGTCCTCCCCATGCAAAAACTACTGCAGACTCATCTATCAATCCAGTATTCATGGTCCTTCTCCTCTGGAATGCTTGTAATTCCAGTAGCTGCCACAGCTGAGTTCTAATACTGCTGACACTGTTCAACCGTTGGTCAATCAGATTGGCCATTGACTGTGGGGAGCATTCAGAGACAATTAACTTAGACCGAATTAATTGTCATTTGGAAAAGTATGGTTTAATAAATGAAAGAAAAACAGATTCGTTACAGGAAACATGTATTTCATTGATCCATAATGTAGTAGATGTTTAGCAATCAAACTTTAAAAATGCTCGCAATGAAGATAATGAAGTATAATAAATGCATTAGCAAAATTGAAACCAAAGGATAAAAGGATAATTGTGTGAATATGAAACTGGGACAAAAGAAGAAAGCAGAGGATTAGTTGCTTTTCAGACTGAAGGAAATTATACAGTGCTGACTTTGCTGATTTTGCAATGCAACAGAGAGAGAAAGCAAAGAATTTTTTTTACAGAAGGACACTTAGGCACAAAACCTGGATCGTTTTAAAACTTGCAGAGAAACTTGGAGAAGTACAAGCATCATTGCACACTTTACAGCTGGCATGAAACTTTGATGTTTAATAAACAGTAAGGAGTTATGCAAGCAATGAAATTGTATGGACCACGCAGTATCAACCAGGCACCAGGCACGACAGATGCACACAGTGCCCTGATGACATTGCAAAGACAACTTTCCCACAGGGACGACATGCAGTCCTGAGGAGAAGGACCATGAAGGCTGGATTGATAGATGACTCCGTAGATTTTGGATGGGCAAGACTCAGAGAATCATTGAGTCAGGTGAAGTATTGAGGGAGGATAGCAGTGGGGTGAGGGCACTTAGATTTTGGAGGCCAGGAAGACTTGTTCCAAAAATAAGAGTGGAACAGCTAGAGCAGGTTACCTCTAACGGCACAGGTCACCCCAAAAGGAGATAACCTGCTTTTCCCTCCCTCCTTTTTAACCAAGGTCAGAAATCTCAAGGCACCAGGTTATATTCCAACAGGTTTATTTGAAAACTCAAGCTTTCGGAGCCTAACTCCTTCTTCAGGTGATAGTGAGAGAGGTAGTCTCAGACACAGAATTTATAAGTAAAAGATCAAACGTTCACACCATTGATGAGCATGTACTAAACAAACCTAAGATGCTGTTAAATCTTTAATCAATTAGAAAGTTTTAATTGATTAATATGTATTTGTATATTCCCGAATTCTTTTCAAGTCATGGTCCTGAGAGAAGTAAAGGTTTTATCAGTGTAAGGATGAGGTGACATTTTAGGTCAGATAAAACATGTCAGGTGTGTGACCTTGTTTAGAATCTGTGTTTTTGTTTGGACCCAGACTGGTTTTATTTCTAAAGTAGGAATTTATAAAACACCGTATTGACTGACTGTCTATAAATTGTGTGTTTTTTGACCAAATTAAAATGTATCTGCAAATGTAAATTCACCCCATTGATGTGTGTGTGTGTGTGTGTGTGTGTGTGTGTGTGTGTGTGTGTGTGTGTGTGTATGAATGTATGCATGTTGCATGGGTGAGAGTGTATAGTGTGTTGGGCTCACCTGTAATGCGACGTGAGCCCAAGAGCTCTGCATTCTTGTGTATCCTGAAGTCCGCCCGCCTTGGAGGACGTTTACCCGAAGATCTGAGGCCGAATGTCCTTGACCACTGAAGTGTTCTCCAACTGGGAGGGAACATCCCTGTTTGGCAATTGTTGCGCGGTATCCATTCATCCATTGTTGTAGCGTCTGCATGGTTTCACTAATGTACCATGCAGATACACACATTACAGGTGACCACACTACACTATACCCTCTCAAACACACACATACGTGTGCGCGCGCACACACACATACACACACACATTCTCTCTCCCCCCCTCAATCACAACACTCTCTTTACTATACCCCCCAACCCCCACACCCCAGTCCAACCAGTACCTCCACATCATGGCTTTTGACGTAAGATAGTGGAGAGCTATGATGAAGAGTTACCTAGACTTGAAACATTACTTGCTCTCTCTCCATAAATGCTGCCAGACCCATTGTGATTTCCAGCACTTTTTGTTTCCAGAGATCTCCCACAGACTAGTCAAGCAATAGTCTGGAATTGTTATACTAACCAAGTCGTACCTTTTCAGCTAATGTGCCAGACTTCTCCATCAACATCTCTAGACATATCTGTCCTACCAACAAAAGTTACCAACCAACAATTATGCCACAGAGATATACAGTCAGAAGCAAGTTGCCTTGAGAATCCTCAGATTGACTCCAAATCCTGTAAATTTTCATGGGATCAGGTTAGATATTGGCAAGACAGCCTTCTCCTGATCCTACCACTCTGCCTCAACTGATGAATCTGTATTCCTTCATGCTGAACCCCACTTGGAAGAAACTCCTAGGGTAGCAAGTGTCTAGAATGCCTCTGGATGGAGAACTTTCAATCATCAAGAAAGACTCGCTAGCACTATTCTCAACCAAATGGGTCAAGTTCTGAAGGACATAGCATCGAGACTGAGTGGGAGGAGGGTGATGAAAGAACTAACATGATAGAGAAAGTTGCTTTGCTTCATCCTTAGCAGTCTAATTGTTACAGATGTATCTGTCTATGACAGCAATGATGGATTGACTTCCACCCCGGCCCTGAGGGGACAATGTCTCATCTCCTTACTGCTGACATCCTCCAGAGTATTATGAGCCGAATGAGATAGATTTAGAATTTCCAAACTGGGCTTCAATGTAACGCTTAAGGTCATCCACCTTAGTAGAATCATAATCAACCACAATCTGTAACCTCTTAGCCCTCTATAACCCTCCCTCTACCATTACCAACAAGCAAGGGATCAAGAGTCAATAAATGTGGATCTGGAAAAGCACAGCACGTCAGACAGCATCTGAGGAGCAGGAAAGACTTTTCTGCTCCTCAGATGCTGTCTGACATGCTGTGCTTTTCCAGCTCCACACTTACTGACTCTAGCTTCCAGCATCAGCAGTCCTTACTGTCTCCAAGCAAGGGATCAACTTTTACCTAGATCAGAGCTCTGCAGTCGTGCTGTTTCCAGTTGTGGTGAGACTAGTTATTTATTACAGCTATTTTAACTAACATTCAACCACAGTGGGATTTGAACCCATGTTCCAAAGCATTAACCTGAGCTTCTGCATTAAAAGTCCAGTGATATTATGACTATGCTACAACGATAAATATTCAACCCATTCACCTTCAGGTACACAGAGGCTGTAGTATGTATCATCTAGAAAATCAATCGTAGGATTTTCGACAACACCACTGTCGTCCTTTTATACAAGCTTATAGTTTGTTTGAATCTGCAAATTATAAGACAGCAAATTGATGACTACTCAAAAATGTTGTCTTTCTTAACT